CGTGAGTTACTAGAAAAAAAGCAAGGTTAATTCACAAACATGAAGTTACTAATATATAATAAAAAAAAGTTTCATGAATTTAAATTTAGTCTAAATAATCGGAATGCAATGTTTTGATATAGTGATAATCTGTTGAAGTTGGGCGTTAATAATTTGTCACAGTTCTTCTTTATAAAAAAAAAAACTAGCAACTGTAGTTCGTTCATATCCGGATAGAAAAAAATTTCAACAAGAGAGTTCGTTTATTATTGAAGGTTTTGTTTTTTTCGAAAGTCAACTAATTTACGCACTAAAATAATTTATCAAAATTTATGAAACTCGTAAATTTTTACGCTAATTTTTGATAATTGTTTTTTTATTAGACTCGAACGTCTTAACGTTATCACAGGCAGTCAACAACCCGCCATCAAAAAACTGCTCCCTTTCATAATCTTCGAAATATTTAATATCTTTGTTGACATCATCGTCATCGTCCTCCTCACCAGAGTTTAAACGATCTAATAAATGTAGGCTTATTTTAATAGAAGTTTTTCTACAACATACATACTTTAAATTTTCACACTTTGGATCTTTAGCTAGAATATTCTCTAAATTCACTTTTACTCCGATGAAGAATAACTCAAATTTATCTATCGGTTTTGGCTTAGGCTTTGGTTTAGGGGGTGGTTTCTTCATTTTTTTCACGACGACGGGCCCCATTTGGGAGGATATGGTCTCAGGGTACTCAAGATTCTGTTCATCAATCGAGAATGGCAAGGGTAGTTCTACTGTGATGAGTTTGGTTTCTGAGTTGAGGTTTTCACAAGAAACAGTTTTCTCCGCATTGTTGATCTTATTATTATTTGATTTTTTCATCGTGACATTTTCATCGAGTTTAACGTGAGTGGACTCATTCACAATTTCGTCTGTTACTATGTTTTCCGCGTTAATACTTTTTACTATCATTATATTTTCTTTATTATCTACAACGAACGAATCAAGAAGGGCTTGTTTTCTAACATTTGCGTCGTTCAGTATGAACTTATCAGTTTTTAAATACTTAGGCTTCAACAAGACAACGGAGTTTTTTTCACACGACAGCTTGCTAACGTGTGCGTCTATGTCTATTTTTTCGATAGCAAGCAGAGAGGTAATCTTCTCGAGAGAATATGCATCTTGAACATTGTTAGGTACACGATTTTCTGATAAATTTAGAGGAATTGAATTGGTTTGTTGGAGATCAATATGTTTGACGTTGTTATTCATATGTTCTCTATTCGCATGTGCTGACCTGTTGTTTACTGCGGGCTCGTGAACTTTTTCGTTCCTCTTTGAAATTCGGCCGTCGGGTAAAACCATATGCTTTTCAACGTCGCCGTCATTCGTGAAAAATGTTTTGTTTGCAAAAAAATCTGAGTAGCAAGGAGAGTAAGGAACGTCTTCGTTTAGAACTTCAAGCACATCGAGAGCATCCAGAATGTCTGAAACATGATCCTCATCGTGAGTGGCTGATGAATAAGATGTTCGACTTACTTTCTTAATTATCGACTTTGTTTCCTTTTCATTCATCATTTTAATATTGGAAATACCTGATTCAAACATTTTATCCGGATTTATGGATTGAGGAAAATGATGGGGATGATGTATCATCATCTGGTGCTTCTCCGTTTCATTAATGGACAATCTATACCTTCCTGGATCAAATATACTTTTTCTAACACCTTTTCCGGAATGTGTCTTGGGATCAACATGATAATGTTTGCCAGAACTGAAGACGGCATCGTCGTCGTCGTTTTCTTTATCATCGTAATAACACAATTCATCGGCAAATTCAGCCGATCCAAAATATTTCCCGTCCGCAACACGTTGATTGTTAGGTTGGAGCGTTTCTGGACTCATATATTGATTGCTATCTGCAACGAAGTCTAAAATCCGGTTAACATCATAAAAATCTTCATTCGGATCGTGATGATGTATGCCGTCTTCAGAGGAAACTTCCATGTGAGGTTCCGGAAAACTTTGCGTGCTCAAAGAGGATTGAGCTTGCACCGGGTTCTTGGAAGACAAACTCGATTTAGCACTAAACGTGTAATCGCTACTATTGTTATTAGCAGTAGCTCTCGAAGTGTCAACATGAATCTTCATTTCCTTCATTACTACGTTAGAAGAAACAGAATGAACACCATTCCTAATTTCGCTTCTCGCTCCTTTTTTACTAGACATTTCTGAGTAATAATGAGCTCTTGGGACTGGTTTATAAGTAGTTGAAGTTTCCAATGGCTCCAACAAAGCTTGCTGCTCTTCAAGCCACTCCATAACGTGCCCATGTTTATCAAAATTTTTATCGGACTGTCCATTATTTTCATATTGATTATTTTCACTGGATGACACGCCATTCTTTGATGAAGACTCAAGAACAATTGCCGAGTGTTTTTTGAAACTTTTATTTGCATCTTCATCCAGCTCATCATTCAGACTTAATGACGATGACGATCCTGTTGTGTAGCCCGTTTTGGGGCATGTGGAAATACTTCTCTGCACTTTGTTAGATTTCTTTTTCATGTTCTGGGGTTTTTGATGGCCGAAATCGGCACTAGCGTACGAACTTTCTGTTTCTAGAGTGCCAATTCGCGCCCTCATTGATGCTGTGTATAATTTTCTTTTTTGGTATTTTGCATCAGCTAACGAGGTGAAGCGATGTTCTGACTTTATCAAATCGCAGAATGTAATTGATTTACGTTTGCTCAACATGTGAATAAGCTTTACGTTTTCAGTGGATAAACATTCTTTGACAATCGGCAAAGTAAGTTTAGACTCTTTTGATCTGAATGAATGATTTAAAACATTTCTTTCAAGTTGGTCTACGGGGATGTATTTTTCTGAATCAGATTCGGATAATATTCTGCCTCTTGTAACTGGTCCAGCCAAGCTACTACTGTACAGACTTTTATTTTTACACAAAAAATTTCTACTAGTTACTTCTTTGTTAGCGTGATCGGAAGACAATTTTTCTTTAGATTTGCCTCTAATCGAATCATTTTTAAAACTATTTCTAGAAATATTTTCATTCATTACTACTTTATTTTCAAAAACATCCTGGGCTCTGACCGCCTTCTTCCAAACTCCATGATTATCATTTGGCAGAAAATTGATGTTACCGTTATCTATAGTATCGTCTCTAGCTGAGAAACTATCTCTGTGAGGTAGCCTATCGTAAGTCATGTAATCAAATTGTTTCATTCTCGAAGCTTGGTTTGATGGCAAACTTTTTGCGGGCAAAATTCGACTAACAATTAAATTTTCGGGTTGCATTTTGTCATTTTTAAACTGCTTAGTGACATTTGGCTCTTTGAAAGAACGATTCATAGCGTTCAAATGTCTCCTGTGTAGAATGTACTGAATGCCATCTTCCTTGCTGTCAACAATGGTGATGCATTCATCATCTTCTCCGTTTAAATCTTTGTTCGATTTTGTTGTTTTATCTCTTTGATGTGTTGTTTTGCCAGCTTGGTGCACAAATGACGGATATCTATCCGATTTATCATTTTTTGATACTGTATCCCGAGTATCTTCAACTGGCGATAGAACGCTGTCAATATCAGTTGAATATGATTGATTTGGCTGGTTGATAGGACCGCACGGAATCAATTTATTAGTCAAACACTCGTTCAAGTTTGATATGACGTTGTCATAGGCAACATTCGCTGATCTTATTTTAGCAAAACGGTCTCTCTTAATGTCAGTTTCCTTATCAACTGTACGACCGCCATCACATTTGTCTCCGTCTAACTCAGCAAGACTTTTGCCTCTGCTTGACGAAACGTTTAACTGTTCGTTATTCGATTTATGAGCCGATCTCAAACGACCTTGAGACGCAGACCGATCGCGTTTAACAGACCTCTTATCCCGCTTTGAATCAGTTTGGTAATCAATCTCAGGACTTTTGAAAGCACCCCGATTACCGCCGACATCATCATCGCCGTCGTTGTTTGAACCGATCGAACAACGACTATCGTGAAGATGGTACGAATCCTGTGATGCGTTATCTCGGAATGCTGCTTGAAAATGCGATGGTGAGTCAACGTTTCCCACCATGTCATCGTGTCCAGCAGCGTCAATGTTGTCATCGTTGCAGTCTATCGACTTGAAATACGAACAATGAAAGTCGTCAACGGTTGAACGATTTGCCTTTTTAGGCTTAATGTACGGCTCTGATTTTCTATATTTTAATTTGTTCTTATCAATGTTAGGTGAAAATAATGAAAAATCTACTTGTGGTTCAGGTGATCCAATCAACAAGGAATAGTAAGCATGTGAATGTGTTAAATATAAATAAATAATAACATGTTTAACTTCATTTTTATGAAGTATAAAACGTTAAAATGAAAAAGTTAGTATAAATAACAATCCTCTCCAACTTGAAATTTACGTGAATTTTACAAGCCAACAAGATTATTGTTGCAAATACATCGGCATATTAACAAACTCTAACCTTTTCCATCCTCCATGCTTTGAATGTGATCCATGGAGCTGGCAGCAGCGGGGCCGATGATATCTTGTTGATTGACAACCACAGATTGCCTTTGATCAGCGACAAAAATATTTCCATCCATAATTCGATGTTGCTGTGTGATGTCCATATCAAACGGCTGTTGTTGCTGTTGTTTGTTGTGTAGGGACCTGATGGTACCCGTGTGCGAGGGACCACCCCCGGTACCATTCACTGTTCTCATGCTTGTAGATCTATGAGTGTCGTGTGTGCGTGTATGTGTGCGTGCGTGCGTGATTATGTATGTGTGGATAGGGTTATATATTTCCATCTTTATCGAATGATTTCATAAATAGTTTTTAAAAAGTGAACGAAACTTTTTATCCGACTAATTATTAATGGATTCAAAATATTATTAAGTTGCTTGTAAGTTATTTATGATAGAAATGATATAATAGAAAATAATATGCTAAAAACTTTATAAATATAAATCATACCCTCACCAAACCAAACGCATGCCATACTTATTGTACTACACAGACCTTTGAAAGTTGGGCCTTTTTACGAAGTTCTCTCTCACGTAATCAACTAACTGCTTCTGAGTGCGACCACTGTATCTGTTTGAATGTTCATCCCAATATTGTATTCTAACTTTCTAATTATCCAGTATAGCAAAAAAAATTTACTGTTTATATGAAAGTAAAACACATTTTAGCAAATGGAATGCTAAAATAAGGCAATGGATAGCAGATAAACACTTTAGTCAATAAAACTTCTTCACATAAAAAAGCGATACCTCATAAAACATAATGATCATGTGGTAAGTACCATTACACTTACCACATAATCATTAACTCCATGAATAACATTCACAGACAACACATATGCTTGCACACAAAAGCATAAGCTTTCACGAGTCACACATGGCCAACCATACAAATCCAAAACATTCAAAAAAAACATGGAGAGATGTAAATAAACATAATCGCGCAGATACTTATACACACAAACACACACACAAACACACACACTTATACACACACACTTATACACACAAACACACACACACACTTATACACACAAACACACACACAAACACACCTGAACGAACTGCCATGGCTGACAACTCTAGTCTTGTTTCTTGGAATCTTCTTAACTGACTGACACCTGAAGAATGCATGGTGCTCCAGACACTTCTTCCAGAAATTCTTACACTCGTTTCGAGAGTTGAAGTAAAACTCAACTGTGTCTTTGTAGAAACCCTTTGTTTGTATATGTGTGAGTGTGTGTGAGTGTGTGTGTGTGTGCGCGTGCGCGTATATGTATGTGTGTATATGAGTGTGTGTGAGAAAATGTTTGTTGTTGCGTCTGTTTTTGCTGTTTTTGTGTGAAAATGTGTTCATCTTTCTGCAGATGATATGCGTCTTTGATTTGACTCTTACTAATCATCCACAACAATAGAAGAAGATAAAGATGACGGTGTCAAACATGACATGAATTACCACCGTCAAACAATAAATGTAGCTAGTTGGTGATGTTGATGACAATGAGGAAGACATGGAGTGATGACGAGGAATGATGAGAGACTAAGTTTATAGAACAAAGTCGTATATCAAATTTCAATGCATTTGCTAGAGTATAAAAAACACACTGCAAGTTCAAAAACAACAAACAATAACAACAATAACAACAACAACAACAACAACAACAAAAATAAATAAATAATAAAATAATAACAAAAAAGAATTATAAACGAAATAGATGGAATAGAGCAAATGTCATTCTTTACACTACTGCACATTTGAATAAAAAAAAATTCAGTTAGTTGAAAAAAAATCTTAAAACTATGAGGGCGTTGTTTATGTTTGCCGTTGGATTATACACTAAAATTATTCATTAATCATCCAATTTAACATTCACACTAATTTTGCGTTTTTGTATGAGTGTGTTTGCTAATGTGTGTGGGTGTGTTTACTTGCATGTGCTGTGTTGCTTGCCGTAAGGATTATATATTTAAATATGTATTAATCATTAAATTCAGATTAATATGAATTTTTTTGATTATTTGTATATATTTGTATTTTAGATAAAAAATACAATGAATATACACGTATGCGTATTAAGATATAAATGGCAGCAAGTTTCATTTTATGAATTAAAAGAAAATCTCTCAAAAACCAATGGAAACAAAAAGCCTTGATCCTAAAACATGCACATTCATTCTATATCATAAAAAAAATATTAAAAACATCTCATAAATTTATTAATAAAAATAAGAGTAGAATATAGAAATTCAGGGTCTAAATTCACAGCAGACTTTGTGTGCGTTTGTGTGCCTGTGTGTGTGAGTCTGTCTCTCTCTCTGTCTCTCTCTTTCTCTCTCTCTCTGTCTGTCTCTCTCTTTCTCTTTCTCTCTCTCTCTCTCTCTCTCTCTCTCTCTCTCTCTCTCTCTCTGTGTCTGTGTGTGTTTTAAAAATGTTGTTCATTCCGCATAATAGAATGTTATTAAGATTATGGAGATAATAATTTGTCACAACAACATCAACAATAAAAATAAAAATAACAACAAAAACAATAATAATAAATCAAAAGTAATAGTAACACAACATGCAGAATATAAACACGCACATAGCACAGGGGTGGGCAAACTTTTTGCTGTGAGGGCCGCATTGAGAACTATTTTACCTTTGAAGGGCCGCATATGTACTTAAATAGCCAAATTTTTGACACAAAGATTTTTTTTAAGATTTGTGGCTCATTTTTTGGTCATAATGCCTAACTGGCGACCCTTTTTTGGCGAACATAGCTCAATCACACACGTTCACACAACACACACACACATTCACACACATTCAAACACACACACAACACAAACACACACAGACACATAAAGTTACAAACACGCTAATAATATGGCCTAAACTCAAAAAATTGCACATTGATTATTTTCATACCTAAAATTTTTTGCAATATCAAAAATTATGACAGGAATTATATCAGCCTACACAAACATACATACATGCCAATTCAAATACAGACGCACAAACGTACAGACAAACTTGTGCAAACATTCAAACCAGCAAACAAACACACACACGCACAAACAGACACATCTCAGCCAAACAACAAATTCAATGAAGCACCAGCAGGTTGCGAGAAATTAAATTCCCTCAAAAAATATATACAACCGACACACAATGGACAAACTAAATAAACTGCCAAAAAAAGAAATAATAACAATAAATATAATAATAATAATAAAATTTAAAAAATATACCAAATAAGATAAGAAACTATTTTACAAAACACCAACAAAAATAAAAAAAGCCATTTGGGTAACATATATAGCAGGAGTGGGCAAACTTTTTGCTGTGAGGGCCGCATTGAGAACTATTTTACCTTTAAAGAGCCGCATAGATACTTAAATAGCCAATAGCTTCGTGAACCGCATGCGGGCCGCGGGCCATGGTTTGCCCACTCCTGATATACAGCATTATAAACGTTAATAATAATTTGCATGCATTAACATTTATAAAAATAGGGCGCTATATAAATACTAAATTAGTATATACACATGGTTGATAACATATAGAAAAAAACTCCCTAGGTAAGTAAGAAAGTTGGATAGCATGCAACCAACGATACTAACAACATCAATCTGCGTAGCGTAGATAGGAAAGTTGAAAATGGTATTTTTTTAATTAATAAATAGTGAAATTAATAAGAAAAAACAGAAAAGAAATAATAGCACAGATGTTAAAACATTCTCTGTCTCATTTTAAAAATATAATCTAGAACTTTGAACGATGAACATTAAACATGGAACAACAGAGAATTAGGATATATAAAAACAATTATCAATCAAAAAATTTATTCAAGAAACATCCCATCCTAACCAGACACAACTAGCATTTTCAATTAAAACAATTACTCGGCAACTAAAAAATCAAACAACAAACGAATAAACATCTTAATTATTCAAACACACACACACACACACACACACACACTCACAAATACACATACATGCACGCAAAAATACACTCACACATACACACACACACGCATGCTATGCGCTAAATTAATTCAAATGAAACAATGAACTTATCCCCAGGCCTTATAACCAACAACTACAACAATTTTACAAATATACCTACATACAAACAGGGCAAATAAACAAACACGTACACACGCGTACACACAAACAAACAAACAAATCTACACACACACACACACACACACACACACACACACACACAAACAAACAAACAAACAAACTCACAAATCCTTCGGGGTGCAACTTGATGAGAAACTTTTTCCTTTTGAAACTGAGTTTTCGGATCTTAGCCCACGAAAAAGTGTTAATGCGGGTTGCATTCTGGAAGACCACAATGCCCATGTGGATGACCGCCAGGTGTAAGGGCACTGATTCATGGTCCTGTGGGCATTCATTAAACTATTAAGAATTCAATAATTCATTTGTCTCCTAAATTCATCTTATAACTTGGATCATAGACTACAATCCTTTCTTTCTTTCTTTCGTTTGTTTTTTTGTGTTTGTGTGTGTGTGTTTTTTTATTTAATTGTGAGTTGTGTGTATATGTGTGTGCGTGTGCGTGTTTGCGTATGAACTGCTGGTATGTTGAAGTTTGAGTGTGTAGTATACTGTGTAAGCAAACGAATGCGAGTGAACCAATTGTACAACAATAATAAAATATTCAAATACGTTTGTGAAGGTGTGTGTACGTATATGCATACATATATGGATGTGAGTATGTATGTTTGCATGTATGTGTGTTCGTAGGTGTGCATGTATGCTTGCATACGCGTGTCAAAATTTATATGCAGATGAGGTTTTGAATGACAGAGTTTTGTAATTGAACTAGCCAGCCGACCATGATGAATTAACAAACTGATGATGAGTTGTTTGAATGATCTTGGTCGTATGCTGGTTACCAATTTCATATTCAAATGAATGTCAATTAGTGAACTGGTAGAAGATCGATTGACGTATGGGTAGAAGGGCGAGTGAATGAATAAACGAAAGTATGAACTAAAAACGAACATATGAATGTATGAATGAATGAATGAATGAGTAAATGAATGAACGAACGAACGAAAGCGCGAACAAATGAAATGATGTATGAATAAAATTAAAAATGAAAGTGTTAAAGAAAGTTAAAGAGCCTATATACCGAAAAACCCAATGAATAATGCTTGCCCGCCAGCATACAACGCGCTAGGCTAATAGAGTAGTTGTCAAACAGGAATATACATACATGCCAACATCACACGCAACACGCCTCTCTCTCTCTCTCTCTCTTGCTCTCTCTCTCTCTCTCACACAAACACACACACACATACACACACATACACACACATACATACACACACACACATACACACACATACACACACACACACACTCGCGTATCTCTTTTTTTTTCCATAAAAGTTTAAGTTGTTTTAAGAAATCACCCAACACCGTTCCGAGTGACAAATGAAATAAAATTTATTAGACGCATTCATGGAATTATATTCAAAATAATTTTAAAATGTGCCAATGAAATTTTTTTTTTCGCTTTAAACCTTTAAAAGTTAATAAAAAAATATTTGACAAAATTCTTGGAAAATTGAGAGAAGCCATTTCCAACTGCTGCTTGCTCTAAGTAAAAAACATGTCCATGATTTGTGGGGCAATTGTTATCAGGAACAAATCTATGGAGGAAATGAAATGATGAAGAAGAACATGGTGGTGAGGATAGTTAAAAAAATTATAGACGATGACGATATGAAATTACGATGATGACGACGACGATGATGAAAGTAAAAACGAATATAATACGTGGCTTAAATTCAACTCTTTGATGGATGGATTGATTGATTGATAGATAAATAGACTGATTGATTGATTGATGGATGGATGGTTTTGATGGAGTGAACCAGTTTGAGAGATGAGTGAATGAATGAGCGAATGATGCTAAAAGACGACGATTTTAGACCGATAAATAAAAAAACACTAAATAATTAGTTAATCTTTACAAATGAACAACTTGTGCAGAAGGGCAATGATGAAGATAAAGATGATACGTCAGAAAATGATAATTATAGTGATAACAATATAGCCATAGAGTCCAGAAAGTAGAATGAAGATGACAAAGGTGATGTCGATATAATGATGATTCAGAAGACGAGCGACGCTGACGATGATAATAAAGACGGCAATCATAATAATAATAATAATGATAATAACGTTAACGATGATAACATAATGACAATGGTTACAAAAGAATCAGCCCTATAGAGCTGATGACAAAATGGTGACGAGTGAATTAGAAAATGGTGATAATAAAGATGACGTCCACAATATTAAAATTCGGATGAAGATGATGGCAGAGATGATGACGACCGCAATGGAAAATGATTGAGAAGTCGCTGCCGATAGCGACATAGAGATAACAACACAGCAATAATAATAACAACAACATCGTAAACGATTATGTGGAAAATAATGGTGACAAAAGCGGCAAAGAATGAGTAGAAAAATGGTGAAGATGATACCTACTAAGATGATGATGCAGTACAAGATGATGGCAAAGGTTACGACGAAAAATGATTACGATGAAGATGATGGTGATGACATTTTCCGATAGTATTAAATGGGACTTATGATCGATGGTATTTCTGATGGCTAAAGTGAAAAGATGAAAAGACGGGTTGGTTGGGGGGGGGGGAGAATACAAGAATGACGGAAGAATGGAAAAACCAACGAACAAAAGATAAAATGAATGAAGGATACAGATGGATAAAAACAAACGAACGAATGAACAGACAAATGGATAATAGAATAAATGAAGGAACGAAAGAAAGTACGAATGTAACAAAACCGTTCTATAGTTTTAAAATCTTTTATGATCAAACTAACATAAATGATATATATAATTACTATAACTATTTTAATGACCATCGTCATAATCATCAAAATCATCATCATAATCACCAGAATCATCATCATAACCACCAGAATCATCATCATAGCCACCAGAATTATCATCATAACCACCAGAATCATCATCATAACCACCAAAATCATAATCCTCCCTCTGGACTTTGCATTGTGTAATGTTTATTCCGTAAAATTCCACCTTTCGAGCAGTGTCCAGCAAATTGTAATCCGCGTCCATTGGTGACTGACCACTGTATGTGCGTGTGCGTATGTGATTGTGTATGTGTGCGTATGTGGTTGTATATGCGAGTGCGTGTGTATGTGGTTGTGTGCGTGTGTGAGCGTGTGCGCGCAATTGTATGTGTGTTTCATTTATTTATCACACACGCTAACGAATGGCAAAAAACTAACACCCATCTATTTGAAAGATGACCGAAGAATGCCTACATTTCTTTATACACACGCAGATTCACACACAAACACAGGTGTGAAAATAATGTTTTTCCTTTCATTTTAAATTTCTCGAAGCCTTTCTTGTCAGTAATTCAACACGTGCAACGTGTCGAAAACTACATTCGTCATCACCTTCACTATTATTACCCATCATCATCAAAAGCATCACCACCAACGCCGTCATCATCAACGTCATCATCAAAAACGCCATCACCATCCATATCTTACAAATGGGCTCGATGGTTTTGTATGATCTTGCTTTCGAGTGACGGGGACATGTTCTCAAACAACTTGACCGACCTCAAGTAGTCAGGGTTCATCTCCAGGTCTTCATCCGTCAGGTCGCCGTAATCAGCTGTGTGATTAGTTGGTTGGTTGAGTGGTTGAATAAATGATTGATTGACTGATTGAGTGACTGATTGATTGACTGATTGATTGATTGATTGACTGATTGATTGATTGATTGAATGGTTGATAAGTGAATGATTCATTGACTGATTGGCCATCTAACTAACATACTGTTCAGAAAATCGGATAAATAACTAAACAAACAAATGATCAGTAACTGAGTGAAAAATTAATAAATTTAAATACAGACACACACAGACACACACACACAGACACACACACAGACACACATAATTAAAATAATAATAAAATTGAAGACCTTGAACTATGTAGGACAGTAAGAGGGCTGTAGTCTGCTCCTGGCACTGCATTCTGCCACTGAGTAGATCTCTCTTTACTTGCAGTGCGAATAAATACCTGGAAACGCAAAATATATATATATTTTGATATTTATGATGAAATAATAAGAAATTATAAAATTATGATGAAATTATGCCGAGAAAATACAATATGATAAAATAATAATTATTTGTAATAAGTTTATTCCGTGGTTTCCAAATAAGACATTCGTTCGTTCATTCATTCATTCATTCATTCATTTATTCGTTCGTTCGTTCATTCATTCGTTTGTTCCTTCATTCATTCATTCATCCATCCATTCCTTCACTCATTCATTCATTCACTCATTCATTTATCCATCCATTCATTCATTCGAAAGAATTCATCCATACAATGATCAATTTGCTTGAAATTTGATAGGAGATGCTAATGATCCATTGTAACAATTGAATTGAAATTGGACCCAATTCGTGAATTAATTAGTAGCTAATTAAATGTGAATGAATTAAATGCACTGAGTATACCAATAAATAAGTTAAGCAAAATTTTTGTTCATTCATTCATTCATTCATTCATTCATTCATTCATTCATTCATCCATTCATACATTCATTTATCCATTTAATCAATCAATCATTCCTTAGTTTGTTAGTTAATTCACGAATTTAAAAATGCATTAAATTATTAATCAGTCAATCACTCATTCCTCCGTTCGTTCATTCATTCATCCATCTATCCATTCAATCATCCATTCATTCATTCATTCATTCATCCGTCCATCCATTCATTCATTCATTCATTCATTCATTCATTCATTCATTCATTCATTCATTCATTCATCCGTCTATTCATTCGTTCATCAATTCAGCACTGAGTATACCAATAAATAAGTTAAGCAAAATTTTTGTTCATTCATTCATTCATTCATTCATTCATTCATTCATTCATTCATTCATTCATTCATTCATTCATCCATTCATACATTCATTTATCCATTTAATCAATCAATCATTCCTTAGTTTGTTAGTTAATTCACGAATTTAAAAATGCATTAAATTATTAATCAGTCAATCACTCATTCCTCCGTTCGTTCATTCATTCATCCATCTATCCATTCAATCATCCATTCATTCATTCATTCATTCATCCGTCCATCCATTCATTCATTCATTCATTCATTCATTCATTCATTCATTCATTCATTCATTCATTCATTCATTCATTCATTCATTCATTCATTCATTCATCCGTCTATTCATTCGTTCATCAATTCATAGAGAGTGAACGTGTTACAGATGATGCTACATAGTAATAGACTATGAATCTATATAATCCCTTAAACACACAATAACATATGCATCCAACAACAACAACAACATCAACGAATCAACGACAACATCAACAAAAACAACATCATCATCATCAACAACAACATCATCATCAACAACAACAACAACAACAACCGCAACAGCAATATCAAAAACAACAACAATGAAAACAATAATAATAATAACAAATGCTGACCTTGAGAAGACATAAACTACGGAAGATAAGAAGTCCGACCATTACAATGTGATGGACAACAATGGGAATAATAATAATAATAACAATAATAATAATAACATCCATAACAACAACAATAACAACAACAAAGCATCAAAAAACCTATAAACATTGACTAAGCCACAACCTTATAGCATCTAGAAAATATTTAAAGATTAACAGACGAAAGTACAAACATTCAGAAAAAGGCCACCAAATGTGTGTATATATACACATACATACACACACGCACATACACACGTACACACATACACACGTACACACATACACACACACAACATAAAGCTTACAAATATACATATACACACGCTCCCGTGCACACAAACACATGCATACATGTATACACACGGAGATAAACACACTCATATATACATAAAGCAATACACACATACATACATACATAACATATGTACTGTACATACATACATATATACATAAATACATACATACAAACGCATATAGGCACACACATACATGGATGCATACCGATACCGGCACAGAAACACACATACACATCTGCAGAAACATACCTACACACACTCACACGCACACACGCACACAAACAAACCTACATACGGATGAGCAAATTGGTATTTTGTAAGTTGGAACCGGTAATAGAAATGGTGGACAGACAGTAGCTTGCCCACACTTGTACAAAGACGAGTTCAATTAAAAGTACATATAAATGTTTGGTCAAGTGCAAGTTCTCCAAACAAAAAGTTGCTTTCACAAGATACATATAGGAGAATATATACACAAATACATTTTTTTTACAAAAAATTTATCAACAAAAACACACACACATACACACACACAAACATACACACACACACACACACACACATACATACATACATAAATACAAAAGGTATCTTTGAAGATACCTGCTTCCAATCTAACATATTTAATGCTCCTCAGACAGACAAACAAGATGGTGGGTACATGTGTACATAATTTTATTTTTTTCTTTCAAGCAAACTCATGCAGTTTGATTTATAAATAGCAGCTAAAATGCATCTGCATGTGAATGCAATACAAAAATTGTTTGTACATAGAAACGCGTGTGCGTGCGTGCGTGTGTATGTGTGTGCACATGTATACATAACTTTTGTATATGTAAAATATTGTACATACACAGGATAAAATATCTAGTATGTGTTTGTTTGTTGGTGTGCTAAAAAATGCACTACATGTCCAGTGGATTTAAATGGTTGCCATCATCATCATCGTCGTCGTCGTCAACATCATCGTCAACACCATCATTTTCATCATCTTCTCCATCAAATAGTAGAAGTTATAGTAGTAGTAGCAGTAGTGGTGAATGTGTGTATGCATGCATTTGCTATGCAGTTGCTATACATCAAAGTGAATGGCATTGAACTATAGTTAAAAAATGAAAACTGAAAAAATTTTTTTTTGTTTATAACAATAAAATTTACAAATGAATCATCATCGTCATCATCATCCTCGTCATCAGCACATCATCCTCACCATCATCATCATCATCATCATCCTTGATAACAAAATTTCCATGCATCTGAATCTTACATAATTCACATATGAATGCATGCATATAAACATATAAACATGCATGCATGCATTTTTAAGAGAGAGAGAGAGAGAGAGAAAGAGAGAGAGAGAGAGAGAGAGAGAGAGAGAGAGAGAGAGAAAATAAAACAATTTACATTGTTAGGCGTAACGTAAACATCCCAAATTCAATTTTTTTATTCGGAAAAAATAAGAACGAAACTAGAAATAAAATAATGTTGAACTAATTTTTTTTAGTAAAATCACAAAAAGAAAATGTTACTAGCCATCTCTTTGATCAGCAACCAACAATGCTAAAAACTAATACATACAAACATATCCATAACCAATACAACATCATTGATATCACCATAACTATCATCATCATCATTAAAATGATTATCACTACTACTATCATCGCTATAACCATTATCATCGCGATTTCCATCCTAATTATCGTCATCATCATCATCCAAAATCATCACCACTATCGTCATCATTATCATAAAAACTCTTCATCAACATCGTCGTCGTCGTCATCATCGTCATCATCATCATCAGCTTCTTCTTCTCCTTCTGAATATAATCTGTTGCTAATGTGTTATTATGGTGATTTTACGATGACTTAAGAGCGTAATGTATGTATGAATAATTAAACCTGATGTGTGTGTATGGCTGTGTTTGTGTGTGTGTGTGTGAGTATATACGCGTGTGTGTGTGTACGTGTGTGCGTGCGTGTGTACGTGTGTGTGAATGTGTGTACGAATGGCTGTTAATGAGATATGTGCATTCTGACTGATAAGAATGACATCAGAGTCAACCAAACACATACTACCAATTTGACATCAATAAAATAAATAAATAAAACTTTATAAATAATTATTAGGCGTCAATGGAAATACAAAAAAAAAATAAAATTTTATAAATAAATAAAGATATATGAGAACACAAGGGAATTAATAATCACCATTAAATCTCATGAAAACATCAGACAATTGAAACATAAAGATATCTACCATTTCAACCATCGGACAATTGAAAATATAAGTATCAAGCATAAAGATATCTCTAATATTTCATAATTTGATCAATTAGAAATTCTCGTAACATTCCAGTAGCTAAAAAGAAGGCTTAAAGCCCCACCGAGAACGTAAAATAAAATTAGGTGAAGGATAAAAAATACCAGACAATGTTTCAGAAACTTTTTTTTATAAATCTAGTAAATTAAAAGAAAAATTTCTCTCTGTCTGTTGGCACCATCTCTCTCCCTCTTTTTCTTTCTCTTCCTCTTTCTCTATCTCTCTCTCTCTCCTCTCTCTCAAATTCTATCAGTTTCTATTTATATATTTTTTATCTCTTTCTTTTTCTCTTTTTCTTTGTATACAAATGTACACTCCTACTTACTTACGTACAAAAAAATATGTACATACATACAAAAATTAGGTTTAGAAATTATCAAGGTGCTGTAGAGAAAAAAAAAGATAGATAGAAAGAGAGGAGAGAGAGAGAGAGAGAGAGAGAGAGAGAGAGAGAGAGAGAGTAGTGGCTACATTAATATAAGGACAAACTTGACAGCAACTAATTAAATCAATGGATATGATTAGATATTCCACTGCAGAGGCTTGAGAGGATGATTTGCCATGCCATCATCCTCTTCTTCCTTCTCATCATCATCGTCGTCGTCATCGTCACATTGTCGTTATAATCGCGCCACCACCATCGTCAAAATCATCAGATTCATTATCCACATTTCATCATCGCCTCATTATACACACACCACCACCTTCACAATCATCATCACCATCATCATCAGGACGAACCTGGTATGTTCCTCTTCCAGCATTCCTGGGTCTGGTGTATAAAACTTGACCACAAATTCAAAATTCAGGTGGTTCTGTGGCAGCTGATTGGTTATCAGCTTCTCGTGGTCTAGCCAGCACTGAATAAGTGAGTGAGTGAGTGAGTGAAACGGGGAACGAATGAATAAAAGAAAGAAAGAATGAGATTGAAATGAATGAATGAATGAATGAATGGATGGATGAATGAATGGATGAATGAATAAATAAATCATGAAAGAACGAATGAATGGATGAATGAATGAATAGGGGTAAAATAATTCAATGAATGAATGAATGAATGAATGAATGAATGAATGAATGAAAATACGAAGACAAAATGAATGAATAAAGAACGAATGGATATAAGAGTGAATAAATGAATTAATTACTTAATGAATAAATTAATTAATTAACGAACGAATGAACGAATGAATGAAAGAAGAAATGAAGGAAAGAACGACAAAAAACTTTTCAGTACTAAGATTAATGGATGGGTTATTGATATGCAATATGAACAAATCAATAGATGAGAAAAAATGGCCGCTTGGTGGATTTATGAATGGATGTATTGACTAAAAAATTATTATTATTAACATCAGAATGAATTAACCAATAAATGAATGAATGAATGAATGAATGAAAGAATGAATGAATGAAAAAAGAATGAATGAATGAATGAATGAATGAATGAATGAATAGATAAACAAATGATTGGAAAACCTAATGAAAGAGTGCATGAATGCGAAAATAAATGAATGAATAAATGAATGAATATCAAAATGAATTAACCAAACAGTAAATGATCCAAAGATGAATGGATAGATGAGTGAACAGGAACATAATCCAACAAATGGATGGGTTCTTGAGTGATTGAGTAACAAAGTAAAAGAGTGTATGAATGAGAGACAAAATTGAAGAATGAGTGCGTGACTAAACCTAGAAACCCAAATAAGATAATGATAAATAAAAACCCATCACAACTTATAGTGACAAGATATAAAAACACACAGCCACAAGAATTCAAAATATTGTGATAAGATAAGATAAAAATTAACATGATATTTATCAACCCTCTAAATATAAAACACCTACACCAAGATCACAATAACTACATTACATTTATGATGTAAGGATCTATTTTATCTATCTATGCTTAATCACACACGGACACAAACACAAAACAAACAAACACACACACACACAAAACAAACAAACACACACAAAACAAACCACACACACACAGAAACGAACAAACAAACACACACACACACATACACACCCAAATTACACAAACAAACACACACAAACACATATATATACGCACGCACAAACACACACACACGCACACACGTACACGTAGGTTCAACATCTTGTTTAAGAAATCTAGAATAAAATGCCTATTAACCTCAATATAAATATTTTTTGTATAAACAGTTTGAACATACTAAATACCATACAGGTGTATTTATATAACAATACAAACAACTTTGTATATTTACAGGGTCACAATAAACATACATTGATGTTGTTTATGTAGTCAAATAAGCATAAACACAGACTTATATAAACATTTACATATTCCCAGGTGTTTGTATGTATGTCTAAATGCGTGTGTGTGTGTACGTGTGTGCGTGTGCGTGTGTGTAAAACGCTCAAAAAAATATGAAATGTACTAGAGAGAAATTGTGCACCTATTAATATTAATTTAACCGATATGTAATGATCATTATTGTTATAAGCATCATAGCCTTATATCATCATAACCATTACCCATGCAACATCATCATCATCATCATCATCATCATCTTACTTGGATTCCTTCAACATTTTTATACTGAAGATCAAAGTAGTCTGCCTCCAGTAGTTTTAACTTTGAGATCACCATATTGAACAGCACACTCCCATGACTCTTCATCTATGTGAGCGAGTGAGTGAGTGAATGAGTGAGTGAGTGGATGAGTGAGTGAGTGGATGAGTGAGTGGATGAGCGAGAACAACGTTTTCATCGCAAAAATCATCATTCTCAACTTCACAACAGTCACTATTCTCATCATCAGAGTTAAATATTAAACAGTGCTACACAATATTTTCTACTACTACTACTACTACTACTACTACTACTACTACTACTACTACTACTACTACCACTATTACTACTACTACTACTACCACTACTACTACTAATACTACCATTAATAATAATAATAATAATAATAATAATAACAATAATAATAACAATAATTCAAATTTCAAACTGACAGGTACATAGAGGAGTTCCTCAGAGTCATCTAGCATCAGTACACGGCATACTAGATTTTTTTTATTTGAAGACGGGGAAGCCGGCTGACTCATTTTGGCTCGGCTGTATGTGTAAATTTATTTAGTTGTTCTAACTTCTTCAATTTCAAATCAAATTATTGACATCCCAAATGAGCTAACACGGTGTGTGTAACTAATTTAACAAATTATAATATTTTTAGTAGAGTTTTTTGAAATATTTATGTAATACAAATCCATATTAAATTAATACTGGAGGATATAATATAATGTATGTAAATGGCATCTTTTTATAGAATTCTATGAATATACTTCTTAGTAGTTAGACTTTAAAGATTAAGATGCAACTATGAGTGCCACATTACATTTTTCTGGTATTTCTAGAAGACTAACTCAAATTTAATTACAATTTACTAAAAATTAATATTTCTAACAAACATTATAATGATTAATTAAGTTATCAGTTATCAAATTGTGGAGAAATAAATTTATAAATTAATGTTCTTGCTTTTAAAACTGCATTACTTTCAATTTTAAGTGTGTTTGAGTGTAGATTTATATTATAATTTTATAATTTATATTTTAAAAAAATATTTTAAATGAAGTTGCAAAAGAAATAAAAATTAAGCAAAATCAAAACTAAAACAATTTGAAATTAGTAAGTTGGGTAGGTAGGTAACTCAACAAAAATTCAAATAGAACTCAATGACCCATTCATTTAATTTTTAATAATTTATTAAATTTAAAGATTAAATTAAATTTTATTCAACTTATCCAAAATTATCACTCATTTTAAAACTATTTGCAAAACTACATTTACTACATTTACAGTTAATTAAATTAATTAATCATTTAACCAAAACGAAAAATAAAATTGCAAATAAAATGGGAATAAAAAAGCTTTTCATTGAAAAACAGTACATATTTATACATTTTATATAAGTATAGAATAGAAAAAACTGAAAAAAAACTTCCTTACTAAAATTTTTTAATTAAATAAAATTGTTGATCTATAAACTCGAAAATTGAACAACGGATCAACCGACATTTTAGTTAAATTAAATTAATTTAAATAAGAAAACGAAACAATCAAACGGATTGAGAAATTATATACTCTATTCAATTTCAAATATCACAAATGTATCCATTTTATTTTCAGCATCAAGGAATTTTTTACTCCTCGTTGGTGCAACTAAACGTCCAAATTTACATAAATTATCATATCTGATACAATGACAAAAATTGAAACATACATCGTGACTCAGTGCTCTGTGTACCGTATATGTGTATAATATATGGTTATGATAACACTTGTGTTAAGTATCAAAGATAGATACACTTTACACATACATTTGTATAACACACATATGCACACACATTTACATATACATGTATTGTATATATGTATGTTTGTGAGTATGGACGTGATCAAATCAACCAAACACACAAACAATAAATTCTATATAATTCTTTATAATTCTATATAACCATGCAAGCTAACACATACAATCAATAAAAATCCCACTAAAACCAGGAACCACCGCGTACCTGCTGAATGTATGGTGTGAAACAAAACAAAAAAAAAACACAAAAGCAAAATCACACAACCAAGCAAGAGTAAAAGAATAGAAGTCCCTAAACTACCTATGCAACTAAATTAACTTATGCCCCTAGTCTACCTATATAATAAATTAATCTATCTAAATTGTTCTCTTGGCGTGGAAGTTGAAGGGATACATTTCACTAAGTATAGAATACCGCTAGCATGACGTCATTTCCTCCAACAATTTTCTTTGATGCTTTTTAATCAGTCAGGTCACAATCATCATCATCGATATCGAAATGAAATCAAATAGATATTTTTTTAATTTGTTGATAAAAGTAACCATATATTAAAAAGTTTAAATTCTTGTGAAAGAATTCAAAATAATTTTAGACTACATCATAACACAACTGTAAGCCACTCTGTTTTCTAAACAAAAAGCTATATTCTTATTTAAATTGACAATGATAATTTTAATTTTATTGTTTTAAAAATATTTTTTAGTCAAGTAAATGGTTTGTAATAGCTGTTTGTTAAAACCCATGCAATTTCGAAAGTAGGTAAGCCACCTAACTTTATTTATTCAAATCTGCAGAAGTAATCAGTAGAAGCTGCTCGCTTGGCTTTATCAACGTGGACCCCAGAGAGACTCAGCTATGGCCATTAAAAACACATACATTCTCACACACGTACATATATGCAAACAAACGTAAAAACAAAAATTTGTTAATCTGAAAATTTTTAAAATTTGGTTATCCGCTTGGGGCTCTATTATGTACCTATAATATTCAGAAATAATATTTGTACTGTGCAACTTTAGTTCGACCATTCCGACATTTTAACTTTTATTTATATGTTTGTTTCTACGGAATTTGTCGCTAAGATAATTAAATAGATAATTAAAATAGTTTTTGTAATACTTTTCAATTTAAATATTATGAATAAATTAAACGAAGGTTTTTTTTTAAAGTTATTTCAGCCTATAATATTACATTTCTAATTTAAAAGTTTGCCTAATTTGAAAATTTTAAAAAAAATTTGTCACGTCACTAGATGTCTTTGGGGGACGTAGTGCAGTGTTTAGCACAACTGCAGCTTCAGGTACGCATCCTAGTCTGTCGTTAGCGTCGTCGTCGTCTTCTGTGGTTGCACCTAGAGTGGATCAGTCCATTGCTGCTGGCTGTGTTGGTGGTGTTGATTTGAAATGTGAGTCTTCTTCATCAAAACATAAATAACCTAATAGAATTGGAATAGAATTTAATTAAAATTTAAATAATTTTCTATTTTCTCACCATATCATCCACTATATTATTTTTTATTTATGCTTTTAAACATAATAAATAAATTTATAAATATAATATGTTGTTAATAACAACATCATCATATTTATTATAAAATAAACATAAAATTATTGAATTTATTATAAGTAACATAATCATAATAAATCTTGGTCAATGTTAGTGCTAATTTCTGTCCATTAAGGATCATTTCAAAATGCACTCAGAAAGCCTAGATTTTAAATTTAATAAGATATATTTAGAATTACGTAATTAAAAAATGTATAAATGAAAAAAAGCTAATTGTAGTAAATATATAAAGATTTATTCATTTTATTTATTGCTACAAATAATTCATTATCCCAAAATAAAAATGAATAAGAAAATATTGAAAGATTTTTGTTTCATTTTAATTTTTTTTTGTTCCTGAATTTTGAATTGCAAATTGAAATTTTAGACTTAAAATCATCATAGTACATCTGGTAGGTTATGAATGGCTAGCTAGTGGTCAATTTGTTATTCTTAATATTATTATACTTATTTATTATTATTATTTATTATTATTATTATTATTACTATTATTATTTTTATTATACTTACATTGATTTCTTAGCAATATCATATTATTATTTAATTATTGTGTTATTAAATTTTTTCAATATTCATACACCTAATGATACTTTGATGTTGTTTCTATAACTCAGTAGACATTTTGTTAGAATTTTTTTTCTCTAATTGTTATCATTAACAAGTTATTCGGTTTTCCATAACTAACATTCTTTTGTTTGCTTATTTTTTTTGTTATATCATTTCGCATGTTAATGTTTTTCTTCCTTGGCTGGGTTTATGTTCAATTAACTAATTAATTAATTAATTGATTAATTAGTTGGTTAATTAGATAATTAGTTAATGTATATATTAGTGTTCAATAGCTACTGCTAGTTGACTAGCTGGATTTATTATATTCTTAATTTCCTTGCTTTATTGGCTTAGTAATACTTAACTAACTGCAAACCTAGATAAAGATGTAATAAGCCCATACACATACACACAGACAGGCACACATACACATGCTTACACACGCACACATACATACACACATTTATACATGTATGTATAAATATATATATATAAATATATACAACTTGGATGTGATGCTGTGTAACAAAGTTGTGCTAACATACAATGTTAAACACTTTGTGAACCATTAAGACCAATTTAATTTACTTATAAGTATCTTAAATAGATACAGATATTACACAGAAACACACATATATGTAAATAATATATATTTACCTATATATTCATACATTTCTTTATGATTTTCAATCATTTGTATAATTAACCATAACAGATAATAATTATTTTTTTATGTTTTTGTTCAGGACCTAGCAGGGCTCATCATTGAATGTAACAAAAAAAATGAAAATAGTTAAATTATTATTCAATTAATTATTCAATTAATTAATTAATTTTTAAATTTGAGGAGCGGGTTTCATTTTGGTTGATGTTCAATGTGTTTTTCTGTTTTTCCTAGCTTTTTTTTTGTGATTTCAAAGTTCAAAATTAATTTTTGGTTTGATATAGAAGTTTTGTTTTTACTTAATTTCGACACGTACGCACATATGGCTACGAAGATTTGTCTTTTTTGGCTTGAGCTTTTCTTTACAATACGTTTTGTGACCTGATAGTAATTCTTCCTTTTTTTTCATCTAATATTAATGATTTTTTTAAACTAAATTAGTTTTTTTTTAATTTTAATTTTTAATTGTTTATAGTTCTTGCTTGCTTGCTTGCTTGGTTGCTTATTGTTGAACTGTGGAGTTGACAGTATTGTAATAATGGTTAAAAGGATTATTACTGTTACTTTTTGTTCACTTGTTGGTGCATTTTTTTTTTCATTTTTATTTAATACTATCTAATTTAACACTGTTTAATTGATGTCATATTGTAAGGTTATTTATCTATTCAATCACCATCATGATCATCGTTAGTATCCATCCATCGTCGTCTTTATTGTCGGTTATATCATCGTTATTATCATTGATTGTATCCATCCACCATCGTCTTTATCGTTGGTTATATCATCTTTAGTATCATTGACAATATCCATTCATCATCGTCTTTATCGTTGGTTATATCATTGTTAGTATCATTTATTTATTTATTGGAAGAAGCACAAAAAAGTAAACATAATACTTGTGATAGTGCCTTAACTAAAGTTGTCCTTTCAACCAAGTTCAACAAAAAATTCAACAAAGTTAATTGAAAATGAAGATAGTATCCACCGTCTTCTTTATATATCATCTTTAGTATCATTAATAGTATCACCATTAATAGATAAAAAAGTTATGAATGGTTTTTAATTCAGGAAAATTGTTTAAATCCTGGATTTGTCATTATCATTATTATTATTATCATTATTTTTATTGTTATTATTATTATTCTGATTATTATTCTGATTATTATAATTGCTGCTATTATAAAATTAAGTAATAAATAATTAAATTATTATTTCTATTGTTTTTATCTGAAGCTTTATTAGTATATAGTATGGTAATGGAAACCTTATATAACATTTGCTTGGGCTAACCTACCTACCAACCTAACTAACTTCATTTATACATGCATACACATTGACGTACAGTCACACATACATACACACATACATACATACATCTACATATACCAACAAACATGCTTTGCTTGCCTTTTTTTTTTGTTCCTTCTAATACAGTCAAAGGCCTTACTATACACACCACACGACAAACATACGCATTATGTATGTATGATAGATAGTCTTTGAGTTAAAGACACACAAGTGCTCGAACCATGCTCGAACTGCTCTGCGTGTGCGTTCGTTTTGTTTGTTTGCTTAGATTTTTGGTGGCACTTCAGGAATGTGGTTGCTTCTACTGTTTCTGCTAATTCTCATTTTCGTTTTTCTGCTATGGGTAGATAATAATTTTAACCTTGTTTAATTATTCTATCATTCGTTTTTTTCAATCTATCCATCATTCGTCTTTTTATTCCTTTTCATTCATTCCTTCATTTATATCTTTCGCTCGTTCATCCATCCCTGCATTCCATTGCTTTCAATGTTTATTTATCCAGAATTATTTATTGATCTCGCTTTTTTATATTCATACTTGCGTTAGCTAGTTCACCTTTCATTCTATTCATTTATTTATTCATTCATTCCATTCATTCATTCATTCACTCTTTCATTCATTTTTTCACTTTTTCATTCGTATAAATTCCTTCACTCAGTTTTAATCTTTGTTTGCTATTTATAGAAAAATTTAGATATTTTCACACCAAGAGGTATGACGTTATTCATCTATCCATCTATCTATCTAGCTATCTATCTGTTTATCTATCTGTCTGTCTGTCTGTCTGTTTGCCTGTCTATCTTTTTTATATCGTCTATTTATATGCATGTGTTTGTTTGTTTTCGGGAGTTTGTTAAGATTGAAATAGAACGTTGTGTGTATGTGTGTGTTTGTGTGTGTGTATTTGTTTGTTTGTGTGCTTGTGTGAGTGAGCGAGTTTAATATTGTGTGACATACGCATGTTAATGTTTCTTCATCCTGTTAACTCCATGCCATCATTGGCATGGTCGTCTTGCATTGTTTGTGTAGTTTGTGCGTGCATGTATGTATGCATGCATGTTTGTATGTATGCATGAATGTTTGTATGTATGCATGCATGCTTGTATGTATGCATGTTTGTAATGCACTACTGTTTTATCTCCAACGCAATATTATTAACAGTTCGATTTCAATTCTTTTCATTTTAGATTAGTTTATTTAGTGTTGAATATGTTTCTTCTGATTTGTTGTGTTTTATTTGGTTTTTTAATACTTTTCAGATATAAGTTTCATTTAATAAATAAATAAATTTATATAACACTAGTTGAATAACGTTTTTTCAATCAATCTGGCTTGGTAGTGTAATAAAATTTAACAAACCAACGAACAAACGAACGAACGAACCTACAAACAAACAAACAAACAAACCTACAAACAAACAAACAAACATCAACTAATTGACAATATCATTTCATCTATTAGCAATAAAATCTTTCTGTTTCGGCTCTTTTTGGCTCACTATTTTTTGTTTATCGCCATCATCATCAATACCATCATTATCAATACCATTATCAGTATCATTATCACATTTAATTTCTCATCATCCTCATCATCATCGTTATTATTTTAAGAGTTAGATTTCCAGAGGTTTCAGACCATAACGAAATAATACTAATAATAACACAGAGTTATATGAACTATTTGAAAAAATGGTGAATATATATATATATACGTATATATACGTATATATATACGCGATACACATAACATGATTTCATTTTAAAGTACAATACATTAAAGGTAGAGCTTGCTGGTTTCACTTTACTGAAATTAAAAAAAAACCTCAAAAATCAATTAGCGTTAATCCTCTTTCGCTATCTTAGATTAACGTCATATGGCCTGTATTGTATTGTTGTCTTAAGGCAATAATAGTTACAACGCCGCCAACGATGACAAATGATGATATTAATAATTACTGTTAAGTAATTGTAGTAAAATTAATAACTCCAGAGAATAAACTGATATGGTATTTATATATTTAGTAGAGTGTATGCTATTTTGTAAAGTAATTATTTCACTTTTTATAATATTTATAATTTTCCCACCAGAATACTGATAATTTTGTTTTTATTATTATTACTACTACTATTATTATGTCTATCGCTATTATTATTATTATTATTATTATTGTTGTTGTTGTTGTTGTTTAATTACTATCATCAACACCGTCATCACTCACTTTCACTCATTCGTAGGTGCAAAAAGTGAAGTACAAGAAACATCATCTGACGAACTTAAACTTACTACTGCGAATAAGGTACTATCATCATCATCATCATTATTATTATCGTTATTTATTATCATTATTATTATTATGTTATTCATAATAATAATATATACTGCTAATAAGGTATTATCATTATTATATTATTATTATTATTATTATGTTATTCATAATAATAATAATAAATAAATTCTACACCCTAAAACTCAGGTGACCTGCTCAGAGAGGCAACAGTGTGATGATGGAGATGTGGTATGTATAACAGTTTCCATGATCCATCTTAAACCTGATTATCATATTAATAATAATAATAATTATTATTATTGTTATAATTATAGTTAATGTCAATATTAATGATATTTCAGTAATTGTAGTAGTAGTAGTAGTGGTGGTAGTTGTGATTAGTTGTTGTGATAGCGGTAGTAGTAGTTGTATTTATGTGCAGTTTAGTAGCAGCTGTGGTAGTAGTAGTAGTAGTAGCTGTAGTAGCAGCAGTATTTGGAATAGTAGTAATGATGGTAGCGTTATGATAGGTTATATTACTACGTCGCGAATTATACTTGTCGTCGTCGCTGTCACTGCAGCATATTAAATTACGGAAGCTGGTCTACATCCTGGAATCAAGCGAGGACAGGGAAGAGAAGTTAGAGGCCCTTCGGCTCATATCCGTACTGGCCGACTCCATTCCAGATAATGACAAGTCGGTGTTATTGTTATTAGTTGTTATTATTTCTACTTTTTTTTCATTTCATCGTTGTTGCTATGCAATGTTTAACATAATCCAAGTGTGCAATGTGTGTAAAACAAGTGTGCGTGAGAGTTTGTGTGTGTGTATGTGTGTGTGTGTGTGTGAGAGAGAGAGAGAGAGAGAGAGAGAGAGAGAGAGAGACAAATTTCTATCTTTTCTATCTTCTATACTTTTCATTGATGTGCGTTTTTTAGGGAGAGGTTTAAATTGTTCCTCCACCTCACCCTCTC